ATTCAAGACTTAGCTGAGTCGGGTCTTGTTGTGGAAACCAATGTACCCCCCGGGTGGTCAACCCCTTGTCCGTATCTGTTCAAGCCAATGGAAAGAAGAGGCTCATTCTTGATTTAAGATACGTCAACAAGTTTCTTCGTAAGGTGCATGTTAAATACGAAGACTGGAAAACAGCTATGTCCTACTTCTCGCTAGGTGCATATAAGTTTTCCTTCCACCTGAAAAGTGGGTACCACCACGTTCAAATTTTTGAGGGCCATCAAACATATTTTGGTTTTTCCTGGAAGCATTCCAATTCCAATCAAGTGAAGTTTTATGTGTTTACAGTTTTACTTTTCGGATTATCGTCCGCCCCTCACGTGTTCACAAAAGTTCTTAAGCCTCTTGAGAAACATTGGAGGCAACAAGGCATTTGCGTTGCTGTTTTTCTTGACGAAGGATGGGGTATAGAAAACGATTCTCAAGTGTGCAGTATTGTAGCGGATGCCGTTAGAACTGACCCTTTTAAGGCGGGTTTCGTACTAACGAGGATAAGTCAGTGTGGACACCTTGCCAGAGGCTTGATTGGTTGGGTATCACTCGGGATAGCGCTCGTGGAACCATTGAAATTGTGGATAGGAGGGTTGCCAAAATAACTAGTACCATTGACAGTATTATCGACTCCGATTTTGTTCTTTCTGCCAGAAGATTGGCCACTTTTACAGGGCAGATAATTTCTACAGCGCCTGTTTCCGGGAACATTTCTAGGATCATGACTAGGCACTGCATTATGTCTACATTAAGCGCGCAGCACTGGGACGCGAAAGTTAAGATGGATCCCTATTGCATTGAGGAGCTATATTTTTTGGAAAAACAACCTAAATTATATCAAAGTGCGCGATTGTTATCTCTTTAATAAGCCACAGCGTTTCGCTTACTCCGATGCCAGCACTACAGGGTGCGGTTCTGTTATTACCCTTAATGAGGATTGTGTGTGTCACAAGCTTTGGGAGCCTTCAGAATGTTCTGAGAGCTCTACTTGGAGAGAACTTGCAGCCATTGATTTTTCTCTAGAGTCTTTTGCGCCAATTTTAAAAGGTTCACTTGTCAAGTGATTCACTGATAGCCGGACGGCGGCTAGAATTATAGAAGTCAGAAGCATGAAATTGGATTTGCACAGGCTTGCTACTAAGATTTTTCAGTTTTGCGCGGAGCACTCTATTCGTTTGGAGGTGCAGTGGATCCCACGAACTGAAAATGAGAAGGCGGATTACATCAGTCGTCTTATAGACTTTGATGATTGGCAAATCACGCGTGATCTCTTTCTAAGTTTGGAAGAGTTATGGGGCCCGCATACAGTTGACAGTTTTGCCAATTATTATACAGCTAAGCTTCCTAGATTCTTTTCGCGTTTCTGGAATCCGGGTGCGTCAGGAATAGTCTTCTTTGCCCAAGAGTTAAGTTCCGAGAATTCAGCTGAGAATTGTTTAGTGACCCCCTTTAGTGGTTCCTCCAGTTTCTCTTGTTGCTTGCGTTATCCCTTATCTGAGCCTACAGAAAGCGATGGCTACTCTTGTAGTACCATTATGGCCTTCGTCCAGTTTTTGGCCTCTTCTGACGGGCAAATATCGGTCGCTCATTAAAGGATGCTTTACGCTGAATGCCTCCCAAGCTCTCACCCTCCTCGTTTTACAGGGGAGGTTGTCGCGCTTAGATTCGAATTTTTGTAGGGATTATCCAGCTTTATTGCCCTTCTAGTAGGTCATTCTGAACTAGCTTTTAGTGCTGGTATTTGCAGGATTTGACACTGGTCATTAGTTGCATGGACAGCTGTGTCCAGGTAAATGACACTGGTCATGTGAAGGGACGACTGCATCCGTTGGAGAAGATTTCTGTCGTTTTAGATTTTTGTTAGTAGAACGAGGTTTCGAGTTCTCTCGAGAATGGGAGACCTGTTCACGTATGAAAAATTGTGTCCTTTTTTGACACTGGTTCGCGAATCGTAACTCAACCTGCCATTCTGGCCAAGGTTTTTCACAAGGTTGCACTGCGTTGTTCTTGTTGGTTTAGGTTATTTACCTTTCTTAATCAAGGCTGTAGCTTTGTTTTTGTTGATTGTTAGGTTATTTTAGTGTCCGAGCTCAGACTGTGTCTTAGACAGGGTGTTTCCTACTTTATATTCGTTTGCCTGTAGTTTATGGGACCTTTTGGGGGATTTAAATGATCTACTAGAGCAAGTCGCGTTTGGGGTATATATGCAGTTATTACGCGTTTGTTATTAAGTTTTCTTTGTAGGTTATTCGCTAGGCCTTTGTTTAGGAGCTACTTTGCATGCCTATTTTGCCCCAGGGAGGTCGGTGTAGTTTCCTTCTATTATGCTCCCTGCAGACATTGCGTCATAGGCATAGAGCCTTTATTAATCGCTGTCATCGCTTGCGTCACATTTCCTCGAGCCGCTATCCTGTTGTTGCAAAATTTTGGTGATATAATTTTTTCTTGCAGGTCGTAGTTGCAAGTAAAGCATGGATGGTGCTCCCTCCTGCTATTAGGCCGGATTTTCATTATTTATTTAAATGTTTACCTAGTTCTACGGCGGATTCTACTGTGAAGAAATATCTTAAGGAAATAAACAAGTTTTTACTGCGGTGTAGGACTCGGAAAATTGCGCTACAGTTGCCATTTTCTTCTTTTGTTGTTCATCTATTTGGCTTAGATCAACAGCTTAGGTCCCCGGCCGCAATGGTTTTGGTCCATGCTGCGCTGAAATGGTTCCATTCCTTTGTTCCTGATGATGGTCCCAATCCTTTGGATAACGCTTGTTGCAAGAACTTGATTGAGTGCGCCAAGAGGACAAGGAGCAATCCAGTTCACAAGAAAAAGCCCGTGGACCCTGCTATCATTAGAAGCATTATTGACAGACATGGCGCTGAGGAAGAATCTTTAAAGGACTTACGTATTGCCGCAATACGTTCTTTAGGTTTTGCAGGATTGTTTCGTTTTAACGAGTTGGCTAATATTCAGCCAAAACACCTCTCTTGCGCGTTTTGCGATGGTTTTGTTAAAATTTTTGTGCCAAGGAGTAAAACGGATGTATATAGAGAGGGCAATTATGTTTATATCGGTAAGTTAGAGAACAAATACTGCCCAGTAGCTATCTTACGTAGGTATATTGAAGCAGCCAATTTGGATCTGTCTAGTCATTTGCCTTTATTCAGGCCATTAACGAAGAACAAGTCGGGTTATACTCTTAGGAATGGCAAGTTATCCTATACTCGCTGCAGGGAAATATCAAAATATTTAAGACTACTTTGAAAGATTTGGGCTATGACCCCAAGGAATATGGCCTACATAGTCTGCGTTCAGGGGATGCTACAGCTGCTATTAGTAATAACGCTTCCAATATGAGCCGTTTTCTGAGAGGTTGTTAAAACTTCATGGGCGCTGGAAAACAGACGAAGCGAAAGACATGTACGTGTTAGAGACAGAATGTAATCGTTTAAGTGTGACGAAATATTTAGGTATTTAGCTCATATTTAAATATCTTACCTGTTTTTCCTTTACCATTATGCTGTAAGATTCCTTTTCATTAAAGTGTTAGGGTTCGCACGCGATCCACCCATATCTGACTTCGCCTGGTTTTTGCGGTTATTTAAGCGGTAAATAATTTACGTTCGTTTGAGCGAAGCGAATTAGAACGTAACGCAATAATACGTCTTTCTGTTAAACTGGTGACCCTTATGGGGGCAAAGGGGCGTCTCCTTTTCCTTTTTTGAAAAAGTCCCATACAGCGGGTCGAAACCACTTTCTTAAAGGGCTATTTTATAGGAGTAACTGAGCGGATAGAAACTGAGATGAATTATACCCCTTTCTGGGAAGGAAATTTTGTAAAAAAATGTGAAATAATTTTCTGAGAGCGGCACTTCAGGATATAAATCTAAAACTGAAATAGTGCGCTGTATAAAATAGCAAACAGGATGTTATTTTGACTTATTGAGTCATATTATTTTATTTCATTTCACTAGCTTCGCCAAAACAAAACAAAACAAACAAACAAACAGAAAGAATGTTGGCGGGGACACCGCAACAGTTGTGGCCAATTACAGCGGGCCCGGATACAAATAAAAAGAAAAAAAAAGAAATATTTAAAAAACACACCGATACAAGAAAAACTACAGGTATACACAACAAGTTATTGGACGAGACAAGGGACGAGCACTATTACATTTTAAACAGATTGACTTGAACGAACGTGGATCTTCACAATTATAGGAAAGAGATAACGTGGACTTATAATAATTAAAAAATAACCGATTTAAAGGAAGCTAAGGTCGATGCGCTCAAATCTAGTTCATCCGCTAAACAATTCCAAATTCTACTAGTTCTAATGAGAAACGATGTCTGGTACGTAGTAGTTTTACATTTCTTAATTATGTATTTATTAACATTGCTGGTTGAAGATCTAGTGCGTCTACCGTATTTGCGAACTTCAGGTACCAAAGAGGAGTTCACGTTAACAAGACCGTGTGTCAATTTGAAAAAAAAAAGGTAGATGTAAAAGTTCATACCAGTAACAAATAGGTATTAGGCTTAGAGTTTGTAAACGAAACTTATAACTCATAATTGTTAGGAGAATAAGGCAGTTTTAAGTTAAACTTAGTCGCGAGTCTTTGGATACGCTCAAGCTTGACAATGAGCTCGATGGACTGCGGGGCCCAAATTTGGGTGGCATATCCCAAATGTGGCCTAACTAAGGCTACCGTATCAGTCGCAATTTCGAGCCCTGGTATAGCGTTCGTCTTATACCTCGTGTTCCTCTTTAAGTATCCAAGTATTTTATTAGCACGCGAAGATTGATTGAAATTCACGTAGGGTAAAATAAGATTGTTGGCTACCAATTTTTTTATAGCTTAGGTGATTACTGATGGGAAAAGTTTCGCTACGTTGTTTGAACTTGTTTGTCCCGACTTGGACTCCACTGTTGGATTATAAGGCCTTCAATTACTCTGCGCTTGTGAAAAGTTGGGACGTACAAAGTACGGCAAAAGTTGATATCGATTTTCAAGTGTAGCTTCATAAAGCAGGTAGCGAGAGTGGGAACCAATTTTATAACTAAATATCAGGTATCTTTTATGTGTCATGCCTGACGCCTTTAGAGCAATAAAATTGCATTTACCGGTCGGTTTCTAGGGAAATACCATCAGTGAAATGCTATTGATGACTCTATGGAATATCGGGCCGTCGAAGGGTGCACTAATGTCCACTGCTGCAGGAATTGATAAAAAAAACGATCCCTGCCAAAATGGAGGTAGATAAAGGTATTTGAAGGCCAATGAAGGCTAATGGAGGTAGATGAAGGTGTATGAAGGTTAATGAAGGCTAATGGAGGTGGATGACGGTGTATGACGGTAAGTGAAGGCTAATGAGGGTAGGTGAAGGTGTATGCAGGTAAATGAATGCTAATGGAGGTAGACGAAGGTGTATGAAGGCAAATGAAGGCAAATGGAGGTAGATGACGGTGTATGATGGTAAGTGAAGGCTAATGGGGTTAGATGAAGGTGTATGCAGGTAAATGAATGCTAATGGAGGTAGATGAAGGTGTATGAAGGCAAATGGAGGTAGATGACGGTGTATGAAGGTAAATGAAGGCTAATGGAGGTAGATGAAGGTGTATGAAGGTTAATGAAGGCTAATGGAGGTGGATGACGGTGTATGAAGGTAAGTGAAGGCTAATGAGGGTAGATGAAGGTGTATGAAATCCCATGAAATCGAAGGTTAATGAAGGCTAATGGCGGTAGATGAAGGTGTATGAAGGTTAATGAAGGCTAGTGGGGGTAGATGAAGGTGTATGAAGGTAAATGAAGGCTAATGGGGATAGATGACGGTGTATGAAGGTTAATGAAGGCTGATGGGAGTAGATGAAGGTGTATGAAGGTAAATGAAGGCTAATGGGGGTAGAGACGGTGTATGAAGGTTAATGAAGGCTAATGGGGGTAGATGAAGGTGTATGAAGGTTAATGAAGGCTAATAGGGGTGGATGACAGTGTATGAAGGTAAATAAAGGCTAATGGAGGTAGATGAAGGTGTATGAAGGTAAATAAAGGCTAATGGGGGTAGATGAAGGTGTATGAAGGTAAATGAAGGCAAATGGGGGTAGATGAAGGTGTATGAAGGCAAATGAAGGCTAATGGGGGTAGATGAAGGTGTATGAAGGCAAATGAAGGCGAATGGGGGTAGACGAAGGTGTATGAAGGCAAATGAAGGCTAATGGAGGTAGATGAAGGTGTATGAAGGTAAATGAAAGCTTATGGAGGTAGATGACGGGGAATGAGGGTAAATGATGGTGAATTAAGGTAATACGGGTTAATAGAAGTAAATGAATCGAGGATAAAGAAAAGTGGTTACTAATGTGAATTGGTCAGCGGCTAACTTAAAAGCGGCTCGAAGCCATTCCTGTATTTAACGCTACGTCCCTTTTCACGTGACGTCATTTCCGCCCCGATGGAGTCTGTAAACAATAAAAAACGACGTAGAGGCCATCTTGGTGTCCAAATACAAGTTACTGCACTTGGGGGTTGAAATCCTTTCTTATCTAGACGCTTGCATTTTCTGATGAATTTGCATAGCTGCTCGTAATGGGTAACTGGAAAAACACCATATTGGCTGTCCCTGGGTCTCCAAGAATAGTATTAAAGATCCTTATTATTCATTCAAAATATTTCCCGATTCTGATTGGCTAAAAGCACACGCATAATTCACCATAACCAGTTACTGATGACCAAATTTGGAAGAATTTGGGTTTAACGAGGAAATGACGTCAAAAATGCAGAGAGCTGAAAAACCCTCAACGTGCACTATAGAAGGTGAAGTTACACTAGGAATTATTTTGAATGAATAATAAAACAATTATTGAATTCGGCTTTCGTATCATATGAAGAATTATGGAGATCGAGGAGGGTGTTATCGATAACACTCATTAATTGTTAATTAACTCGAGGTATGTTTTTTAATTGACATTTGCCAGTTTTCATCGTTACACATTGTTTCTTTTCACAAAATCACTCTTAAATGTAGTGGAGATCACAAAAAAGGCATGATGTAGCTGCTAAAATAAAGTCAGATACACAAAAAGAAAAGCACGCATATCGTTCGTCAAGCAAAATGTTTATTGCAACCCCTTAATACAATACATGATGCATGGCATTTTTTGTATTAGTCCTTGGCTTTTATAACCGCCCTCTATAATAGTCGTTTATCTAGTCTACCAAGATAATTATCACGGATGTATTTTTTTCTGATTTGGTTGAATTTTAAGACTCCGCTACCTCTTCATAATTATGTATTGCCTCGATCATCGTTAACATTGTTAGGTACTCTGCAGAAAAAAGAAAGTAGGATATCAAATTTATTCAACACTGCTACTGTATGAGAGAACAGAACAACACAGCGACTTAGATAACTCTGAAAAATACCCCTCAGTGGAAGGTCGATACAATGCTTATTTCTCACATCATGAGGCTTTTTTAAGAAAACGCTTCATCACGCACTGTACTATTTTTCACATTGGCACTACCAAGTTGGTGAAGTTTCTAAATGTATCATATTTGCATATAATTAAATATTAAGCAGCTTTATGAACTACATTTTTAATTTCATTGTTTGTTTTGCAAAGAAAGTTCCGGCGTACAACCCTTTTTTAGGTCAAAGACATATATAATCTGAGTACAAAAATGTCACAGTACCTAAACCCAAGCCGACAGGGCGATTTTAGGCCGACTGGAATTAATTTAGGGCGGGCGAATCAGACACCGTTCTTTTTCCATCCATGCTAGACTAAACTCAAAAGGAAATTATCGCAAATTTCTATTCTACATTTTAAAATTTATGCATTTGGTTCTGTTCATCAGGTGAAAGTGGGGGTCTAATTCAACGCCTTTCTACAGCCGTCATTCCTAGGTAACAAATCACTCATGACCAACAGGCGAGCCGATCCAAAATCTGTTAGCCGTTTAGCTGTTAAGAGATTCCTGCAGTGTTTTACCAATATATACAGGATACTTTTATTCTAAGGGGAACCATTACATTAAGAGAGAGGAGAGGATTTCTTGGGCTTGAGAGGATCTTTGGACGGGGGAGGTTCTTCCTTATATAAGCCATATAGGTACGTACGTGCTGTCCCATCGGGTAGGGTTTTGGGCCCTTTTGGTCCGAAAACGGTTATACACTTTGTCCATTTTGGTCCGGAGTCAGGTATGGTTTTCAAGGGAAAAGGAAGAGTATGAACGTATTTATCGTTTCAATTCCAAATGAATAAGAACGAAATAGAAAAATGCGACTTCGAATTACATTTGAAGAATTTTTGGTTTGCGGTCTAATCTAAGTAATGACGACAAAAAGTTTACTTAAAGGCCAGGTCTGAAAACGGGTTGGAAAATAACATTGTTTGGTCTGAAATAGGGTCAGGATTTTGGGAACGAGGGGGCACACTCCACCAAGAATTCCCAGGAGTACTCCTGGGATCTATGGGGGACTAACACCTCTGTCTCTGAGACTCAAGCAAAAGCGTCTCCAGTTTGCTTGTCATTGCTCTCAGGCATACAAAGAAATAATCTCATATCTCTTCCTTTGACACCCGGTGGGCACAGTGCACACATTTACGTACGCTAACAAACCCCGAAGTGGTTACCAGGGATTTAGGACTTAATAACAGGGACCTAAATACAGCGATGGGGAACCGTATGAGGTTTTTATAGGTGAAATCTCCAGAAATGTCCCGTCCAATCCGGTGATCGAGGGATGATGTTTACGTTAACCTATTAAATGTCTGAAAAAGCGGCTTACCCAGTGTCACTTTGCATCAGTGTGATACCCACGGCTTAAGACTGACGGTTGGTAGAGCACTGCATTTCACCCTTTTCTTACTCTGCTCTAGAACCTTCTTGCTTATAAATGGGATGTTGTCGGCATTGTCACAGACGATTTTAGCAAATGTTGTTTTCCTAATTTCCTGTAACATGGCAGCATTGAACGCCGTTCGGTCTGTGTTCAAGGTTGCGTTTGGGGCATTTTCGTGCCAGAAACGATCTCCAACTCTCAGGCGGCGGAACTGCTCCGCTACAATACACTGAAAAGTTGGTCCCAGAACTCCTCCATCACTAGGTCGTGGTTCAAGCATTCCTGAGAAGGGGAAGGAATTAAAAATAATGTAGGCTGCATCATAAAAGTACGTAAAAAAGGCAGAGAAGGATAATGGTTTTAAACTTGTCCTTCAGAGTCTTTTTTTTAGGTTTGAAGTGGCATTTGCTTTTCTTCCAAATGTTTCATAGAAATGAGGTTAGGATGAATCTACGCGGATGGAGATCCCCGATATTTTTAATTTGACTGATGCGCCGCAAAAAATGGCGAAACTTTTACAGCGAACTGAAAAAATCTCCACAACCCCAATCCCGTGAGTTAATGTAACTGTGATTATAAGGCTTAGCTTGTAGGTTAGCGAATTTATCGGGCAGAATATCTCGATATCCATCCAAGACTTATTTGCATGGTTACGCGAAATTTAAGCACAATCAGGGCTCTTGATGCACGACCAGGAAAATGGAAAATCGCACTAAAACCGCCGATGGTGCGCAATTTTTGCGAGTTGGCTGAAATGAAAATGAATGAAAATGAATGTGATATCTTGTGTAAGCGATTGGATTTTTTTTTTCAGAAGATTGCTTATTCCACAACATGTCAAGCGGACTTTTTCTTGAAGAGATAATAGTACTCGACTTTTAATTAATTTTATTAAAGGACAACTTTGGCCCCGTTTTACATCCTTATAATTAAAGAATCTTAGCTGTTTGAAAGTTTTGAATTTAAAATTTTTTGACTTACCTGCTACGAAAAAGTCAATATCATGAACGTTTTTGTAAATTTTCCTCAAATTAGCCACATCCTTTCGGTCAAAGCCTGCCTTTCGTACCAGGTCATTGAACGATTTCACCTTTGGCAGTCCGCATAACGGAAGGTTGCGATACTTAGTGTATCCAGAAACGCCGCGTTCACGTCCTCTTTGGATGTTGATACTGATTAAGTCAGACAAATCACCCTCACCTCGCCTAAGATTTTCTTGTACAGAGCTTGAAAATCTCCTATATTAAAGAACAAAATTGGTAACTTTTAAAAACGACAATTGACAATTTTCTTTTGTTTTTACCTCATCTTCGTTTCAAGGAACTACTGACCCTGACTTTTGAAGGTTTAATGGTTTAAGTTGGAGATGTTGAACCTAATTGACTTATCCTATTTTCTGGCCATGATAAAAGACATGTACTGACTTCAGAGATACAACCGTTTAAGTTTCGAGCGCTAATTTTTTTTAATGGTTAATGCTTAATTATACTTTTTACCAATGCACAGCCTGATATAAACACGAGAGGGGTTGGGAGAATTCGAGACAGTTATGCAAACCCGAGACGAAGTCGAGAGTTTGCATAACTGTCGAAAATTCTCCCAACGCCTCGAGTGTTTATATCACCTATTGCTTTTATAAACAACTTTCTCGAGAAAAATGCAAAACTCTTTGTATGGCACTGATTAAAAGAGAAATTCTTACCAGTAACAAAGTCTTGTCCACTAAGTCTTGCTCGCGTAATCAGTTCTTGTTTTGCAAAAAGATGCTTTCCAAAATACGGACTTTTCTCGCTTAAAATGTCAGCTTAAGCGAAAAAAAATCGATACACCTTCTTTGCAACGATTTTCCAAGTTTCAGCCGACGAAGGAATGGGTAAATAAAGTAAACTTGTGGAGTTTTGAACTCGAAAACTTTTTCAAATTCGTGCTTGCGTGACTAGCGCGCGAAAAGCAAAACATCTTGAAGCCACAACCATGTTTACATACTCTCATGCAAACACTCCTCTCGGCCAATCAAAGCACGCGTACTATCTTAGATAGTTTATAAATATACAATTGATAAAGGAAAGCAATAGGGGGAAACTGAATCCCCACACAAAAACTGTTCTCCAAAAATAAAAAGATAAAACAATAAAAAGTAGAAAATCTAATGTGTAACTATACATTATATAAAAAAGACTAATTAAACTACTTGGATATTAAATAATAAAAATTTTAAAAAAACCGAAAATCCAAAATCGGTAAGAAATAATAAAATATGGCTATTCACAAAGATAATTAAGTAATAAAATTTTAAAAAGAGTTCAAGCTGGAAGCAGACATTACGGAATTTGTTAAAGAGTTTCAATCATTAACGCACCGATTAAAAAATGAAAATTTAAAATAGTTTGTCCTTGCTGCTCTAGGCCTGATTTTAAAGTCATGGTTACTCCTAGTTCTTGTCGGGCCAAGGGAAAATAACAGTGAAATCTCGAAACAGTTGGTTACAGTTACAGTTAGCCACCAAAAGTGGGGCCAAATTGGGCATGAGAAATGCATTGCTTGCAGCAGAACAGTTCTTCCCCGATTCTGCCCATGAGCTTAGGCAATTCATAGGTACCTGACATACCTGTAATTGTATTTAGGGTAATCAAAACATCGGAAGCAAAGATTTTCAATGATAAATGCAGTAACTACGCAATAAAATTAAAATGAAAAGATATAAGGAATTTAAGAATTCAAAATGTTAGTCCAAATTGAGGATGCTACAATCGAGGATTCTCTTTGAAGTGTCGCTCAGCAACATGAAGCATATTAGAGAGACGGCAAACGTAAATTTGTACCACGTGACCAAGCTTCCCTTTTACTTGTCGTTTACTGTTTATCATTTCAGCTACACGTAAATTGGTACATTCGCATCGATTCTATTCATAAGGATTGGTTTAAGTTGTTTTTATCTGCTCATTTCTCATTTTAAAAATTTCTCTACTTGAATCTCACGTTTGGTGTTTGTCGTAAAGGCGATGCTTAATCTCTCATTCTTAAAATATCACAAACCCTGAATGATTATTTTTTTCCTTTTTTTCACTTCTGAATCATTAGGCAAAGTGTTCACTTGATGTTATCAGGTTAAAGACCAGTTACTTACTGGATTTTTTTTCCGGGAAACTATTCCAGCCTGGGAGTAAAGAAGGGTATTATTTTCCCAGAAAATGAGTTAAATTTTAACAGTGACCAAAAAATAGGCACTTATCTGATGATTAATTTATGATACCGTCCATTTGCACCAAAAACGTTGTTAGGTATTACTGAATTAGGTCAACCCTTCAACGCTACCCCAGTAACTATTAGAACAGTTTATTTCTATATTACGCGGAGCAATTGCTAACTATTGACGTCAATACTTAAAGATTGGTCTCGAAAAAAAAAAGAATCTTGTTTATCTAATTGGAGACATTTAGAAAAGAAAGAAAAATGCATATTTACTAACCCGTCAGCCTTTCCCGCGGCATCCTTGATTAATCCCCTCAAAATGGCATCTACACCTCCCTGACATATCTCGTACAAGTACTGTGGATTTTCAAAGTCCAGCACGGGAATAGGCCGGAATTCGGATTTGTCTTTGTGTTGGAAACTTCTTTGATTGAATCGTCTAAACCACTCCTGAATCAGGGTGTGGCCAAATCGGAAGGCAGCTACAGAAAAGCCAGCGGTCATTTGAGCATTCACAGTTTCGTCGTAATCATTGAAAAACTGTGTTCCCCTTAGTAGCTTGAGACCAAATTTTGTGATCTGAGGGGAAAAAGTCAAGTTTAGAACAGGCCAGATAAGTCTTTTCTAGTGCGTGTTTTTCTTAAAATACCAGAAATTATTGTACACCTTAGATATAAGTATTCGAATAACAACAACTCTTAAGGTTAGCATTATAAGGCCTTCTCCTAATTACTGAGGGTACGTAAAATGCTTTTTTATTAATTGTGCTATTTTGAAAAGCTTCACAGTTCAATATGAGTGGGAAACGCGTAATTTTGTACTTGTTAATTCTTTTAGGATCTGTTTTTGACAACCAAATTCGCACAGGCATAATTTATTGTAAACGACAAGTAAACTGAACTTTTGCATGTAGAAACCTACCGTTTTCTTACTCAAAAATAATGGCAGGAATTCGTTGTATGTAATCACTTGCAATTGTGCTCCGATGATTCTCCTGGTTTCCTGATAAATCCTTTCAGGTCCCCATTTTGTCCTTTTACGGAAAAACGTGGCGATGCGGTTGTGGTGGCGCACAAATACGGTATGAACTGAACTGAGACCTGAAAGTTACGAAACAATTGTCACTGCACGTTTTTTATTTCGCAAGAAGGATATAAATAGTCCATTTTCTACTAGGTTGATTAAACATCAAAGCAATAGTTCTCACCTTGGTTCTCATTACTCCTACTGTCTCCTGCTACAAAACACGGTCTGTTTGGATCTAGTGATGGACAAAAAGTCTCCGGGGTTTCTGTACGGGCAGGTAGTAAATCCATAAACTTTGCGCCATCTGGATGCTCCATAACTTTAAGTAAGCCATTTGGAGCGCGAAGCGAATCAGCAACCTCCTGCGTCGATCCATAAACGTTTGAAGCGTCAATGTAGGCTGTTAGAGTGTTTGTATGCTCTCGGGGTACCAGTTTGCAAAAACTGTCTGACTCGCTTGGAGCCTCCCTCTCCAATTCGATGAAATCCACTTCCCGGTCCCGAAATATCGCATCGTCTTTGGGAATCTCAATATTAATGCACTCCTGATTTTTGGTGGGTGGCTCGCAGTTAACGCCCTGTGCCTCTGCCAAAGTAAAATCGTGATCCGTAAACTGTGCAAAGTTCATGGCCAGATGAGTCAGTATGGTAGAATTCGGATTTGTTCGGTCTGCGTTGCTTCCATGGGCAAATCGACTCACGTCCCGGGCGTTTGGAAGTTCTTGCCCATTTACAGCTTGGCGAAGAGTTGAGATGCCATCTCCATAATCAGCTGGTAAAAGTCTGTTAAATGGTGTGCTGGCTGCCCCGAAGGAAGGATTACGTAAATTGTTGCACGTTCCATTGATTGTTCGAAATGGCGCATTTGGATTACATGGTATCTTGATCTCGTTCACGGCGAAAACATCCATCGCTTCGCGGACGAGTTTCCTTCTGCAAATACGATTTCTTTCCTTCCTGATAAATAGAAAAGATAGATCACGGTTAAGATAATTTTTTAATAGTTATTCTTTTAAGAAGAATGAATATATTTGGCAAAAGTGGCATAGTAGAATAACACGAATCGGATAGCCTGCATTTCAAAAATTTTTGTATATTGTGTTAGGTTTATGCTTAACACAGTTCCCTGGCTTCTAAAATTCAATGATCTGTTTGGTTCTCCTTCGAAAGAGGAGGAGGGTAACGGTGACTGACCAGACTTATGAGTACACTGTTTACCGGTCTCCAACATCATGACTAGTCCATCAAAAGTTCTGCACTCACAAACCACGGTTTTGACATCCGTGATTGTTCACTAAATATCTACGATAGCTTCTAATACGATTGCTTCTAGTTTTTTCTTCGCATAGAAAACCCAGTCATATACCTGGATTAAAATCACTTACGCAGGGAGTTTGGCGTCGATGTTCAATAATCCTTGAATCCGTGTCCGTTTGCAGAGTTTATTTAAGAGACAAGCGCTGCATTTTTCACTCTTTCTATTTTTCAGCCAGTTTGCGTCACTGATAAAGCTCTTTCCCCCGTGCACAAATGCCTGGTAATACTTTCTTAAGGCTGTTTGTCGTTCCTGCTTTCGATTCCTTAGTTGAACCTTTGGTTTCTTGCAAGAGACGACGAGACGCTTAGCCTGTCTTAATATTTTGCGTTTTACAGACTGTGCGATATCGGCCAGCCCCTGAACTTCGTTTTCATCAAAATTGGTTATCTCATCATCTACCTCTCCAGATAGGTTATCATCACTTATTTCATCAAGAGCAGCGATCTCATCTAGCATTACGTCTGACTCCATGCCTTCGATTGAGCCTGTATTAGAGTATGCGTCGTCATTGATGTTAGAGGACGCCGTTCCCAGGCTCAACAACACCAACACTAGCTGACATACCACGAGTGAGTGGCTTGCCATGTTTAACTAAAAAAAAAGGATAAATGATTTTTATGTTCGTGATCGACAGAAACAAGCAGAAGCTGATGGTGGTGATCACAAAATGCAATAAAGCTAAGGGTCCGCAAAAATTGCAAATTGTTTTGATATATTTACTTATTCTGGCAGTATCATGACAGCCTGTATAGCTTCGATAAGGACCTTACGATCTGATCTGATCTTATCTTGATGTCCGAATTCTGAAACGTTTTCACGATTTTTCAAACTCGTCCAATCTGGATAATTGGGAAATAAAGCTAGAGACCGCATTAGAGAGGGCTCATCCCAAGCTCGGAAAGACACTGTGAAATTTATCGCGGACTTGCTGTTCATGTTCTCGAGAGAACTTAAAATTTGGTCATTGCTTGTCGTGGTTGCGTGGTTCAGTGTATACTTGTTGTTATGTTGTTATTTTTCTATGTTCCCGTTGTCGTGGCCTTAGAAGCAACAGAACAATTATGAGGCACAAAACTCTTTTCTTTACTAGTTGTTCGACATTTATTCTTTAGAGATATTTTGGCAAATGTTTTGGCGGTCAGTTTCTATGATTACCAGCTTTGACGTGACAAGGGGCATAAGCACAATGCTTTCTCAGGAAAAACGACCCATTTCTACATTTGAGCATTTAAGGCGTAAAGTTTTAGTCAAAACAGAAAGATTTATTTCAACCTGAAAAAATTTCGTTAAATTCAAGATGGTGGCCATTTTAAGTTTTACACGGGTGTAAGAAATTCACAGGTTGTCTTAAATATATCTCGTTCTCGAGTTAAAAATCCAGGCCTTATGATATATGTTTAAACAAATTGAAAAATATCTGTTAGATTGATTGATTGATTGATGATTCCCAATTGATTAATTGGTTAACTTCACTATCCTTTCGACAGAAAACTAAGCAACAGTTTGAGTCGATCCGAGTAAAGTTATGAGCATGACGCAAGAAATTTTCATGCCTTGAAAATTATCTGCAGCAATGAAAAACATGATACGTACAGTTGCCTCATGAGCTAAGCTCACTATCTCTCTTTTGGAAATATCAGTGTACATATGCTGAATAAAGTTTGTAGCAAGGCACATAAAAGCTGAATAAGCAATGTGACTCGTCCACCCTAATTTATTTGTGTATTGCAGAGAACTATATTTGAATACACAATCATATTTTATGGAACGTTCGGATTTAAGTACTTAATTTATTTAGTTTTATACTAGTGGCGACAAAATTGTTGAGACGTCTGTTGAGTAATCGAGCCATATTTCGCAGAACAAAAGAATCTGCACCCTTACCCCATTCCTCACATAGATATATGGTATCTCACTTTTTAAATTGTGAAATGTACATGCATATGATTCTAAACCGCATTTAATCATTGACGTACATGGAATTTGCGCTTCATAAATTTAATCTATACTTAAATTATTTTACGCAGTGAATAAGGTGCATATGGTTTATATTACGCTGCTAAAACTTTTTTTGCTGGTTGAACATTTGAACGATTGAGCTGATTGGTTGATGGCCGATTGCTAAAAACAGAAGCTGAACATACAAACTGTCATGATACAGTTCAAAGAATGTCAATATTTTTCGTTTCTTTTAAACCCTTTCGTCAGATACGTTTCCTTTCGATTAACGTTGAGATATTCTCAATATTTTATCACCTTTATAAGCTTATTTCAAACGTTTTTTAAACTTTAAAATGTCTTGAAAGTGGTTCTTATTTACCTCTTATTCTTTGGTTACAAAGTTAACACTGACCATCATTGGTCAGCAGCGTTTATGAAATTTTTTTCATTACGGCTCAAAAAATTTTAGCATTTTGTACTTTACTGATTTAATGAGTTAATTAAATCTTTAAATCATGTAAAGTTAAGAAATGTAGCCTACTGTTTGTTACAAAGCATTTTCTTTCTTGTACACCACCGATCCAATTTGTCTATCTACTTATTTAATGGAGTTATGACACGGAGGAGAAAAACAAACAGAAAAATGAAAAAAGATTTCACAGTCTTAATTTCAGTTGGTTCAAAACATGAAGTATTAATTTACGTTTCATTGATTTGTTATATGTGTGCACACTAGTTGTTATGTTGTTATTTTTCTATGTTCCCGTTGTCGTGGCCTTAGAAGCAACAGAACAATTATGAGGCACAAAACTCTTTTCTTTACTAGTTGTTCGACATTTATTCTTTAGAGATATTTTGGCAAATGTTTTGCCTGTCAGTTTCTATGATTACCAGCTTTGACGTGAAAAGGGGCATAAGCACAAGTCTTTCTTAGAAAAAACGACCCATTTTTACATTTGAGCATTTAAGGCGTAAAGTTTTACTCAAAACAGAAAGATTTATTTCAACTTGAAATGTAAAGTTTTCGTTAAATTCAAGATGGTGGCCATTTTAAGTTTTACACGGGTGTAAGAAATTCACAGGTTGTCTTAAATATATCTCGTTCTCGAGTTAAAAATCCAGGCCTTATGATATATGTTTAAACAAATTGAAAAATCTCTGTTTGATTGATTGATTGATGATTCCCAATTGATTAATTGGTTAACTTCACTATCCTTTCGACAAAAAGCTAAGCAACAGTTTGAGTCGATCCGAGTAAAGGTATGAGCATGACGCATGAAATTTTCATTTCTTGTTTTCATTCCTTGAAAATTATCTGCAGCAATGATAAAACAAGATACGTAAAGTTGCCTCATGAGCTAAGCTCATTATCTCTCTTTTGGAAATATCAGTGTACATATGCTGAATAAAGTTTGTAGCAAGGCACATAAAAGCTGAATAAGCAATGTGACTCGTCCACCCTAATTCATTTGTGTATTGCAGAGAACTATATTTGAATACACAATCATATTATATGGAACGTTCGGATTTAAGTACTTAATTTATTTAGTTTTATACTAGTGGCGACAAAATTGTTGAGACGTCTGTTGAGTAATCGAGCCATATTTCGCAGAACAAAAGAATCTGCATCCTTACCCCATTCCTCACATAGATATATGGTATCTCACTTTTTAAATTGTGAAATGTACATGCGTATGATTCTAAACCGCATTTAATCATTGACGTACATGGAATTTGCGCTTCATAAATTTAATCTATACTTAAATTATTTTACGCAGTGAATAAGGTGCATATGGTTTATATTACGCTGCTAAAACTTTTTTTGCTGGTTGAACATTTGAACGATTGAGCTGATTGGTTGATGGCCGATTGCTAAAAACAGAAGCTGAACATACAAACTGTCATGATACAGTTCAAAGAATGTCAATATTTTTCGTTTCTTTTAAACCCTTTCGTCAGATACGTTTCCTTTCGATTAACGTTGAGATATTCTCAATATTTTATCACCTTTATAAGCTTATTTCAAACGTTTTTTAAACTTTAAAATGTCTTGAAAGTGGTTCTTATTTACCTCTTATTCTTTGGTTACAAAGTTAACACTGACCATCATTGGTCAGCAGCGTTTATGAAATTTTTTTCATTACGGCTCGAAAAATTTTAGCATTTTGTACTATACTGATTTAATGAGTTAATTAAATCTTTAAATCATGTAAAGTTAAGAAATGTAGCCTACTGTATGTTACAAAGCATTTTCTTTCTTGTACACCACCGATCCAATTTGTCCATCTACTTATTTAATGGAGTTATGACACGAAGGAGAAAAACAAACAGAAAAATGAAAAAAAGATTTCACAGTCTTACTTTCAGTTGGTTCAAAACATGAAGTATTAATTTACGTTTTATTGATTTGTTTTTTTTTTTTTCCTTTTTTCTTTGAATTTGAGCGAATAATTTATTTCTTCTTCTTATCGTTGGCGGGACTCTACTCAGTGAGGTTGAATATTGGGCTGACCCAGTAATTTTTATTAACCTCGCTTAAAAAAGACGAAAAACAAAATAATGTCTTCAACAACTAGTTACTACTTGCCTGCTCAGTGGAGAAACTATAGCAAACTTGTCTTGCCTGTGGTAGGGTTCTTACTGATAGTTTACTGCTATTGCAAATGCTACCTCTCCGCCAAGATTTTAACAAGGCGTGGTAGATGTGAGGCAACTATGGAATTTTTAATGCCAGGAGGGCATGCGTATAAGCAACCAAGGTTGTTACGTTGGAAGAATCTCTTATTTATGATTGGTTAGATTAAACAATTACTTCGTAGCCTGTGTAAATATCAGAGGATATTATGGCGTATGTAGATTATAGCGTTGCTGACTACCCTTTTAATCTCATTTAAACCCTTAAACCTTCAATTTTTTCCAGGACTTTTTTGACAAAATGACCTAGAACAACGAAATAGTGTTCGTACATATTTTCATCCTCCAATCGGTCACAACTGTAATTGACGAGTTTGTCTTTTCAGCCTTCAAATGATCCATTGTTTTCAATTGTTGTAATTTGGCTGATCATGATTGACCACGTTGAAACGCTTATCGTTGTTGGCTTTTGCAGTGGTTTAAACTTTGTGTATTTAAGGTGGCTGAACACAGTTTTGCGGGCGGTCAGCGGCAGCTCGCGTGACGGCGAGTGTTTTAAATTGGACGAACAAACATGGCGGCGATAAAGCAGTGGTGCACAGAAGACGATTTCACAAAATCTACTCATTAAAATTTTGTGATATTTGGCAGAAGTTTTACTTTTATCGTATTGTAAATTATAAGAACTTTAAAATGGCAGTTGAAAAGACGAATTTTGTGACACATTTAATAATTACAGTAGAATTATACTATGAATTATCTAAAACCCGTCTGTTAAAATTTGGTCAAACAAGTTTCAAATGGTAATTATTAATTATGATAAGCTGTGTGCAAGTTTATAGGAAAATCTAATGAGCGAATCTTATGTAAACTGAGCAAAAGTGAAAATTTAAGGTTGTGTTCAGTCGTTCATGTTGCCATGGAAACTGGCAAAACGTCAAATTTTACCTGTCAATCAAAATCTTTCATCAAGTATATTTTTCACCTGCCAAGTTTCAGCTTGTGAGCTGCAACCTTT